AATAACCTCTTTGTGGCCTTCAGCTGATGTTGTTGACTCTGCTCTGTTTTGTGGCAGAGCTCTTCTTTAACCATTCTGGAGGATCGGGCCGGTTAAGGAGGCTATAATTGTTCCTTAAGTCCAGTCTGAACGAGAGAAAAACTGTTGCATGTTGTGAGAATATGAAAAAACATCCGGTTTAACCGAGACGCTCCCGGCCACAGCATCAACATGTCTTGGTGTTTTATTTGGAAATGTTCTTAAATGGAAAAAAATGAATATTTACTCGGTAAGCTGGCATTAGGCCGTGCAAGCAGTTCCTGAATGGATGCAAACAATCAAAAGCAAATACTGACAGCAGCTGATCACACATCATCAGGCAGCCCAGTCACTATCTGTGAACACCTCAGAGACTCAACCACTCCACGGAAACTTTGCTGCTGTCCAGACAACTATTTACACTATGATGGAATACTCTTTTTGTCTACACTTTTTGATATTGAAGTGTTATTTATACCATAACAGTGGAGTGACTTCAAGAGAAGATAGTGTTAATGTTAGCCTAAAAAATATTCCTCGGTTAAGGAAGTCTAAACACTCCCACAATTTAACCCACTGAAAGACAGCTGTACTTCATTGTGAGAAGAGAAGGGAAAAAATCAAGTCCATTCTCATTTTTTTTGCAGTTTAAGTGAGTTTAGGTTTGCAAAAAGTCAGGAGGCCATGGTTTTTTATAGACGGTAATTTAACACAGTGGTTTTTTTGCGTTTCTATTAGCGCAACAGCAAAACCATCAAAATGACAATTCTGTATTTATTTTGACTGATTGCACGCTGAATTACGTCTTGTTTAGCACCAGCTGCAAACAGAGTAACGGCAAAGTCCCAGTCAAAAAGGATTCTCTGTAAAAGGTTTTTCCAGTTGCTCGATTACTTTTGTGATGATTCAGCAACAAGCCATGTCTTTAACCCCCACCACCTATTTTCTTTAGGATCAATCCTGTTTCCCAAAATTGTGGATTCTGTGTCAAAAATAACAAGCAATAGAATCTAGAGACCGCAAACTGAGAAAACTTGTTCTTTACCAGTTTTAAACCAAGTAGGAAACCAAATGCTACAGTTTTAAAAGTTTAATACTAACTATCTCGGCTACTCAGAGCCTTCTTTGCCATATTCTTTATATTTGTGATGTGCAAAATCCTCTCAGTGGTGCACAAGTTTGGCCAACTGGTGTACCAGTTTAGCGTCAAGGATTATCTGTTATTATATTTGAAGGAGGACATTTGGCTTTGTATTGCTGAAATAGGTAATACCTTCTACTGAAAAATACTTTTTTTTACTAAATCCAAATATAAATGGAGACACATTCAGTTTTTATGGAAACATTTTACAGTGTCCCACTTTTTTTGGAATCAGGATTGTATCCCACAAACACAGTGATATGGTTCGCTCTACATCACAATCATACACAGATCTCTGTTGCTTTGAGGTCACAGAAAGCGGTGAAATGTGGGAGATAAGTTGTCATTTTGGAAGACCAGTTTGCTTCAGTAAATACAGCAGATTCTCACAAAAGGAATATATGATGTCATCAATGGAGAAATGAAAGGAACTGCTTTTGGGACCATAACAGTGATCATTTCAACCTGAACAGAAGTTTTCCGTGTTGTTTTGTCCTTGTTGGTGCTTGAGGTCACGTGCAAATTGGATCTTCTCCCAGCCCTGCATTTTTTTGATGGACTGCCACCCTTTCTCAGGAAGGAAATCCCATACAACTGACAGTCCTTTCATTTCTGACAAACACCTTAGGAAATGGAGTTGGAAGTGCAGATGAATCAGTTGACTTCATGATTTGAATAAGCTATATCTTAAATTAGTTTTAACTTCCAATTGTCTTACATTTCACCAAGTGTTCAAACCTCGGTATGTTTTGAGTTAATGGACCTGTGCCGTGATCAATATGACATTCTCTAAAGTCTTTAGCACTTTCAGCTGACCAGGTCAGACAAGTGTTTTCTTTTTCTATTTTACATCATCAACCTAAACCTTGTATTTTCTTTTCCTAACTCAAGATTGATGATGGAAGTAGAATAAAGAGACAGAACATCTTTTCTGGTGTCTTATTTCAATTAGTTTTCTTTATTTTATCTATCTGATTCTGAAAAATATCTGGATAACAGTTATTCTTTTTTTCTGTCTATTAAGTTATTTCTGACTTTGTCACAGAAGTGTGTTCCCCAAGACCTAAACTGAAATTAAATTAAGTATTTTACTCATTTTTATATGGAATTACAGTGCCGTGTGTTAGCTGATAGATAAAGTATGTGTAATATACACATATTCAGGATGTTTTTGTCTCTCACACCATGAAAGAAACATTGTCCATGAAATCATGTCACATTCATGGTTATTGTAAAATTAGCATTTTCTTCCTTCTGTCTCTTCCTCTAACTGGGGTAAAAGTCTAAAAATAGGTGTTTATTGACAAACATGAATATGTATGTATATATATATATATATATACTACTACTACTACGAATGTAAAATAACCACTATGGGATGCCAAATATGTACTGTATCCCCCTTTTAATTGTTAAGAAGACGTGATTATTTAAAACCTCATGGTGCTCTTGAGGACATCTAAACCTTTTTGATAAGAGGAAAATAAAAATATTGGGCGCTATGAATGTTTTGAATAACCCTGAGGTGTATTTGCCGCTTTAAAAGAGTTAAGTGTAATTTACAACTAACTGGCAACGTGAGAGCAGTAATAGAATTTCCGGTTCCTTTTTCTGCAGTCATTCGCCATTTTGTTCTAGTCGACAGGGCGACATAGTTTTAGTTGCAGCTGAACAGCGCCGTAAACAACAACACCAAAGGAGCTTTATTTGGAGAGATAACTTGGTGAGCATATGTAAAAAGCGATATGAAATGACTCCGATAGCTTTTATATAAGAATTGATTAGAAAATCAACATTCTTGGACTTGAATTTTGCAAAGCTAATGTTAGCAAATGTCGGCTAACTGAAGTCGACCTCGAGGTGGAGAAAACCCCACTCTAAAACAACTAAGTAAACGATCCATTAAGGCGTTCAATACTCGGGATGATTTTGTCTCTTACGAAGACAAATACATTGAACTTTGATTTAGACCTTTCGGGATTGGTTTTAGTTTTTGGTGCGTATTTGTGTTTGGATCGCGTTAACTGTGTGCTGGTAGTGCAGGACTGCAGGCGTTTTCTGGGCCTCACAATGGCCGATGGAATAATCTCAGCTTTGATCAGTCTTTCTGTAGAAGTTCTTTTTGGGGTTTACACAAACTAAGATATATTCGAAAACCGATTATTCAATTCGAAAGAACTCTCCAACTATCTTTAACGGGCAAACGTTTGTATTTTACTGGTAGATTTTCCTTTTTAAAAGCCCAAATCGTTTTTTTTCTTCTTTTTTCAATGTAAAGTACACGCTCGTCTCAAACCGATCACAACATAACTGGATAAATATAGTTAGTAACTATTTGGAATTCTGCTCAGATTGAATTATTTAGAGCTAAGTTGCACGTGGTTCCTTTCAAGCCCTGAGAGGGAACAAACGCACCTTTTCGACTGGTTTGTTTTCACAACGAGGACATAAGTCATCAGGATACAGATTGATCAGTAACCACCGAAGAACTCTTCTATTACCGTCTGGAGTTAATGATTTATTGGAAACTTATGAGGCCCTATAGAAGTTACCTTTGTTCCGTTATACCGACCAAACACTGCTAATCTGAACGGTTCTTTCCTTTCAGCACAGAACTATGAGTGGCAGTCGTGTCTTCATCGGCCGCTTGAGCCCACACGCCAGAGAGAGAGATGTAGAGAAGTTTTTCAAAGGATACGGACGGATCAGAGAAATTAACTTGAAGAATGGGTTTGGCTTTGTGGTAAGTTTGAAACCACTTTATGTTAAATCTGTATTTTTTTTCACGCTGCTGTGAAATCACAACTCCCACTGCCTTTCTTTTGATTCACAGGAATTTGATGACCACAGAGATGCAGATGATGCTGTTTATGAGTTGAACGGGAAAGAACTGTGCAGTGAAAGGTATTTATCTCATCTCAGATGATTCCTGCGTGCTCTGGATTCTTGAGTTTGGCCTGTTGTCACTTACTGGGCTCCGGGCCTGTGACCAGTTGTGCCAAATTCACATGAAGGCGCCGGAAAGTATACATTAGCTTTGGTCGTAGTTGGATTTCTGATCCACACAACCTTTGTTCCAGTATGAAATAACTTAAAAACGAAAGGTGTTCTTTCATGCTAACTGATTGGTCATAACTGCCCTCTCATAGGGTCACCATTGAGCATGCTCGCTCCAGGAGAGGAAGAGGAGGAGCTGTGCCTGGAATGGGACGTTTCAGCAACAGCTATCGCCAGTCTCGCAGCAGCGGCTCCAGGTACGGGAGTTACTTATCAGCCCCCCGAACAGTCAAACCAGTATTACTTGTTAGCCCCGTTATTTGAGTCTTTCTGTCTACTGAAGATGTTCAGGCTTGACTACTGTTGGTTCCTTTCAATGATAAACTTGATTATTCTGACTTAGTGCAGATTTATGCCTAGATTTTTGTTGTTTTTGTAGTAAATCTAGAGCTTTCGGACGCTAACCCATCTCACCCTCCCCATGTGCAGATATGGCCCTCCTGTACGAACTGACCACAGACTCATTGTGGAGAACCTCTCATCCCGGATCAGCTGGCAGGTCAGGCATGGCTTTCGTACTGCATAATTTTAACAAACAATATATGACATCTTTAGTTATGTGTTTTTTTTTGTTATAGTGAATCAGTACTCATTTCATTGTTATTTTGAATGTTATATTAAATGAAGAACAGTTACTCATTTTTAATTGGCTTATTATACTAGAAAGCTTCCCAGTATGTTTTTTTTTTAATATATATCTTTTATTACTTTTCTCAAACACATTACACATGCTTATGAGCAACCTAACCAAGGCATTTAGACAGTTGCTCTGATACCATTTTATTTTATGTATCAGAGGTTAAAAACAAATAACCACCCCCCACCGGGGTGTCAGAAGTGTGTAGCGCCCTCTGCTGGTTGTTTTCTTTGCTGAATAGTGTTCATTTGGTGCCTCTCCTTACACGCAGTTGCTGCCGGTCTAAACTCTTGGCTGGGCCCCGTAGCGGGTGAAAGAGGTCTAGCGCAGGATACGGTAGCCTTAGGAGGTCCGTAGCCACTGTCTGGAGGTTCTGTGGGCTGGCACCCCGACTGCTGTAACCCCCCTCAAATCCATGGTCCCCTACACTCCCATTTGGGTCTTTTTCTGTGGCTGCTGGAGCTGGGGGGGTGTTGAGTTGGGCCTACACCCCTCCCTACTTTCTCTCTGGTGGTTCCTTACTTGTGGAGGCCGGATGCTGAGTCAAGGCCGAGGGCGTTTCTCGAGGGCGTTTCTCAAGGGCTTTACACTGCATTGGTTCCAATTTGCTATTTGGACAAGTGGCTCTATGCTTATGTCTCCCTGGGTTTGGAGCGGTAAGTAGCATAAAACTCATGTGATTGGGGTTTTTATTTTCTGGGTGGGGAGGTAAAGGGTGGTAGATATACAGATATACACAAAAGGGAATCATATAAACAGTTTAACAGAAGGGAACTATCAATTAGGGTTTTGCTCACTTAGTACTTAAGTTTTCTGTATCAAAGCTCAGTAAATGCACAGGTTTGATTCTCAAACCTCACACAAAAGAATAGTTTCAGTTTGCACACAACAATTAAGTCTGAACCTCAGACCCTCTAAAAGATGAAGGCTATCTGCCGGGTGTCTCTGAGGAATTCAAATTGGTCTTAGTCAATGAATTCAAACATTAAATATGAAATCATGGAGTCAGCTAATGTTACAAAGTATTCAATGGGGCTCTTTTGTTTATATGGCCTCTTCTGAAATGAGAACTTAACTAAAAGTGGGAATAAGATCAGAATTAGAAAGTTTGTTTTTGTGCTGCTCACATTCAGCTTGGTCATTTCTTACCTTCCAGGTCCTGAACGGCTCTGTGACACTTCGTGTGCCCTTCTTTTGCTAAACTGCCGTTATGCTTTCAAAAATAGGACCTGAAAGACCTGATGAGAAAAGCAGGAGAGGTTACTTTTGTGGACGCACACAGACCAACCAAAAACGAAGGGTGAGTCCCCCTTTTTAAGAAGTCGTTTTTGTTGTTGTTGTTATGTCTCTCCGTGTTAAAAGCTAAGCCTTGTTTTGTGCCGGACTGCAGGGTGGTTGAGTTTGCCTCCCGAAGTGACATGAAGAACGCCATCTCAAAGCTTGACGGGACAGAACTGAACGGACGCAAGCTAAAGATCTTTGAGGACAGCAGGAGGTGAGATTTAGTTCTGTTTTGATTTAAATGAGCTTAATAATGGGAAAGGTTAGTGGGAAGCTAGCTTGTCTCCTGCAGGTCCCTCTTTTATTCTTTTAAATCCAAACTTCTAAAACTCATTTAAACGGATAAAGTAAAGAAATAAGATTACGTGTGTTCTGATGGCCGTTTGCTCTTTTCTCCGTTAACAGTAGGAGCCGTTCCCGCAGTTACTCCCGCTCCAGGAGTCGTTCCAGAAGCCGCAGCCGCTCCCGGAGTCGTTCCAGGAGCCGCTCCAGGAGCCGCTCCCGGTCCGTCAGCCGCACCCCGGAGAGGAAGGCTTCAGGGGGAAACAAGCTAGCAGCCAGGTCCCTTTCCAGGTCCAGGTCAAGGTCCAGGTCCAAGTCCCGCTCCAAGTCTCACTCCAAGTCCCGGTCCAAGTCCCGCTCTAAGTCCCGTTCTAAGTCCCCTTCCAAACCACGCTCCAAATCCCGCTCCAAATCTCGCTCCAAGTCCCGTTCGAAGTCCCGGTCCAAATCCCATTCCAAATCTCGCTCCAAATCCCGTTCCAAATCCCGCTCCAAGTCTCGCTCCAAGTCCCGTTCCAAGTCCCCCTCTCGCTCACCTGCTCCTGCTCAGAACAGACAGTCCCGCTCGCGTTCCCGTTCCCGTTCCCGCTCCCGCTCCGGCTCAGCGGACTCTAAACACTAAGATGGGTGTGCCCGAGTCTTACGATGGATTGATAGATGCTCACGGGCCCGACTTTGTTTTTACTGCAGGGGTGTCATTTCTTTAAAGAAAAACATCTGGTAATTATTGTGGATATGTTTAGCTTTGTTTTTGTTTATCTTTATTTCCACTTAAGAAAAAATTAATGATAATTTAAACATTTGCCTTTTGTTTATTTTTGTTTTTATTTGTTTTAATTTTTTTTTTTATAAGGGCCCCTTCATATCAGTGGTGACACCCATCACAGTCCTGGAGTCTGTTGTGTGTCGATTCCATCTACTTTTCCAAGTCTTAGTGGGAATTCTGAGGATTCCTCACACCTTAAATAAGTCCTTTTTTTTTTTTTTTTTTTTAAGAAGTGGAGCTCCTCGCTGTACTGTGAACCATCGATGGCACTCGCGATGAGGCGCTTCTGTGTGTTTTGCATCCTGATATTTGAACATATTTAAGCTGGTGATTTATCTCGGCTTTCTTTTGTCGTTATTTTTGGCATTTAGTGTTTATTTTCACAAAAGTCTGTGTTTTTGGCAGATTTATGGATCTACTTTGTCTACGACCTGCATGACGCTGAGGATCTGACTTACGTTTGTCTGTAAATGTCGATTAATTTGATACTAATGGATACTCCAACTGTTTGGTTTTTTTATGTTTTTTTTTTTGTGTGTGTGTGTTTGTGTGTCGCAAGATGCACAGGGCATACACACAGTCTGCAGTTGAGCTCAATAAAGCTTTCATAAAATGATATATGTCAGACTGAATTATTGTGCCTGACAGTAATGCTGCAGCTAAAATAAAAAGGGAAGTTCTTTCTTTTTCTTTTGGCTTTGGATTAACGAGTATTACATTGAAAATTACTGGGTTTGAATTAAAAACTACAAGGCTAATTGGACATCTACCATTCTCTCTAGTATATAAACTAGCTAAATGATATTTAAATACTAAATCACCAGATTCTTATGGTGGGGAGTCTCTTAACCTTCAATAAATGGGCATTTGTGATTTTTGTCTTTCCTTCTGATGCTCTCTCTCTCTCTGTGTGTGTGAAGCTCTCCTGAAGCCTCAGCTCCTTGGACCCGTGCCCAGCTGGCAGAAATGAGTAATCCGCCCATTGCCCCTTTGGACTCTGCGGTCGATATGAAGTGTTCCAAAGGAATCTGATAGATCAGCACTTTTACACTGCAGAACACACACCTCTCTGTCTTAAAACGATTAAACAATTTTATTTACAAAGAAAAAAAAACACAGGAGGCCTAGAAAGAGGTGGGAAACTGGGTACATAAAAACACATAAATGAGAGGATACAAACGAACGTAGGGACAAATGAGTGCTACAAAAAAGAAGAAAAAAAAAGAAATGCATTTGATTCTAAATGTCTCCCACTCATTCGGACAGGAGGACAAAAAAACAACACTAGACAAGTTGTGGATTAATACAGTAACAGCTAATCCACCAGCTCATACTAATCCTTAAAGTGATCGCGCAGCCTTTTGGAATTCTGAACGAGTTGCTCCTGAAGGGGGTCTCCAAAAATCAACCGTGTTTGTCGGCAAACTTGGTGAAAAACAAGACCAAAGTCAATTCAGCTGACGGTCACCACAGGGTGGCAGTGGATGCTTCCACTCTGATCCAAAACATGGAGGGATGTGCCAACCAACCATCAAGTTTGAGTTTTGTCTCTAAATTACAATAAGACGTTTAGAAACAGGAAAATATTCCCGAGGGAGTTTGATGATTGAAAAGTTCAACTGGCCATAAAACAGGGCTTCTTACAAATATATCCCCTGTCAGTTGTCTTCATGTAAGTGCATGAATTTATTTATTAGTTTTATTTCAAAGATTTTGTACAGTTTATGTAAGTGCTGTGTTTTAGTATAATTAGTGTAATTAGTACTATATGCCACCCATGTTTCTACAAAAGTTATTTCTTACAAGAGAAGTGTAGGAGGCATGGACTTCTTAGTGTTTATCACATCAATAAAAACACAATTCTATGGAGAAGAGATTGATCTTTACAATAACTGCTGTAATTCTTAATCTGGGAATATGTCCAGATGCAGAGCAGCTCTGACTCTCCAAGAATGAGTCTTTGCTGATGGAGATGTGTATGAGGGGTAGTTAGTGCCCTGCTGAGCAAAAACTAATGATCAGTCAATAAAATGTAAATTCCTGTAAAAAAAAAAAAAAAATCACTCAATTCAAACAACAATGCCATTCTGGTCTTGTTTACAACTCCTGCGTCCTGTCAGTTCAAATGAGATCCTCACTTTATCTACACTTACACTTCCTGAACTCCATTTTTATGAGGAAAACTGAATTTTGAAGATGGCTCTTGTGTTGGCTGGATGGCTTTGGGAGTTTAGGAGGTGCTTTGGTGTATATCAATGCCCCCCAAAAGGCAATTAAATCACCTGAAATATAAGAATAAAAAAAAACAACTTCCGTTTAGTGTCAGTGGTTTTTGGTTTTTTGGGAGGTTAAAAAAAAAAAGACTGAAACGTGCTAGCTAGCCTTTGCCTCCTCTCAGTGCCAGTGACAAAAAGACACCGGCACCACTCCCCCCCCCCCTCCTCCTCCCCCCCACTCCCCCCTCCCCTCCCCTCCCTTCCACCCCCAGCCGAGAGCACGAGCCACCCTCCATACCTCCGTGCCCGCGGAGCAGCGTGGTAGGAACAGCAGCCCCGGCTCCGTCTGTCCTCCCGACCGCCCGCCCGCCCTGCCCTCCCGCCCCGCCGGCCTCAGAGCAGCCCCCGCCGGCCTCACAGGAGGAGCCCCCGCCGGCCCGCCCGGCTCTCCGCGCGGATGGGGACATGAGCTCGTCCTTCCTCCGTCCACACTGCGCGAGCGTGAGCGAGTGACGGCTCGCGCAGAGACACAGACACACACACACACACAGACACACACACACAGACGCCGACAGAAGACCCGCACCGACCGGCTGTCTACACACACACACACACACACCCCTCGGTCTCGGTCTCGGACAGTCCCACCGGCGGAGGCGGACCATGGCGGAGAGGAGCGGCCGGCTGAGCTTCCCCGGGAGCGGGGCTCTCAACAGACCCGTGCCCATGAATCTGTTCGCAACGTGGGAGATCGACGGATCCTCCCCGAACTGCGTCCCGAGGTAAGCGCGAGCGCGTGGGCGCGCGCGGGCCCCCGCGGCGGCTCGCGGTGTCCCTTTAAAGTCAAAGCCCCGGTGCCCAGGCAGGCTGTGGCGGCCGGTGGATGCCCCCCCACCCCCCCACCACCGGGGCTCCTCCGGCCGTCTGCAGCAGCGAAGCAGAGCCAAGGTGTGCAGACCACCAGCCGGAGTGCTAATAGGGGGGGGATCAAGCCCAAAGGAATGAATATAAGTCTGCAGGAATAACAGTTTCTGCAGCCCCCGCCTCAGAGCAGCTATGCGTTTAAAACATTGTTTTAAAGGTGTGAATCGTGCAGATTTGCCGGTATTGGGCCGGTCCTCTGCAGGATGGGCCAGCTCTGAGCCAGATCATTGTGCCAGGCTGCGCCCTCCCGGGGTGGACTGCTGACTGGACCGTTGTGCTGGACCGTTGTGCTGGCCGTGACCCTCAAAGCCTCAGAGGGCTGCGTTCACGCTGCGAGGAAAGCAGATTTACTGCTCAGGTTAGATTTGTATTAGTGCTGTTATTCATCATAAAGGCACGCAGGGGGCTCTGACACTGATATGATTTCATTCGGCCGGACCCCCTTTAAAATGCTGCAAGATAGCATGAAGAATGTTGGGCCCAGTTTTCTAAAGGGGGGGTGTTTTTTTTTTCTCCCCTTGCTTGAGCCTCAGATCTCTGCAGAAATGCACAGAAAACAGTCTGTTTTTGCTGCTGTCATGGCGACAGCCAGGTGTAGATGGAAAAAGTAGTGTTTTCGCCTCAAATCAGGACAGTTTTCCTTTAACAAGCTGCAGAAGGAGATCACCAATCTCCAACTGACCTCCGTGTCTGATCGTGTCTGTGTTGGTATTGGTACTCTTTTTGGGGCTCCCCCCCCAGTGTCACCATAGAATAACATACTGATTGACAGAAAAATAAGCAAGTAAAGCAGCTATGATTATCCGCTTTAGTCCTACACCCCATCATTGAGCACTTAAAGGAGTGAGTTTGAGTTGACAAGCCCTTTCTGAGTAAAAACAGTAAACCATGACTATCTTCACTTTTCATCTCCTGTTGATGAGTGGTCATAAATATTCTGAGGGTTTGGGTCTGTTTGCGCTGAGTCTGATTTACGGCATGGGCAGCGGAGAGAACTTCACATGACTTTGAATAACTTTACACTCACTTATGATTTTTCTGACAACAGTCCTTCTTTAGCCGCTAAATCCCAGTCAAATCTCATTAAAAGAGGTCAGGCCGTCGTGCGGCTGTCAGACTCCACTCAGCCACAGGAAAAAGGGAGGGGGTGGGCTAAAACCTTTAATTAATGTGAGAATAGAGGGTGGGGATGTACACGTGGGCTTTTTATTTTTATTTTTTTCAACCTGATGACACTCTCTCCTTAGCCGCTCTTTATCCTCTTAACTTAATACCTTCAATGGACTGTGCATTGCATGGCTTTTAGCTGAAATAAGACTAATTCACTTCCCAGAATAGCATAGCTGTGATATTATTCGGCAGAAGGGGCCCGCAGATAAACGGCTCCTGTGACTACAGGCCCACACTCAATCCCCGCTGACCCACGCAGTGTGAGCAAAGGGCAGATTTCCCTTAAGAAGCCGCTGTGCCTGATGGATCTCCTTTATCTCACATCGTGATGTGTGATTCAGGATTTTCTTTTTTCTCTTTCTAAACCTTTGGGGGCGGACTAGCTCCCTCATTGACCGCTGTCTGTCAGAGCTCACACAGGAGACGGCCGGCCTGTTAACCAGGTGACACCGTCTCGTCCTGTGGTGCTCGCCTCCCGAGATTGTTAAATAAAGCGAGCGGAGGCTGTTTGTGTGTTTCACAGAAGCCCACTTGCTTTCTCCAAGGTGCAGGCTCTCGTTGACCCTGTGGAAAACTGAAAGGCTCTCGGAGTTGAGGTGAAATCCTCCAACGTATGCTTATTCATCTGGACATTTGATTCAGGCTGAAATCGGCTGTCATGTCACTGCTCCTCCAAACCTACAAAAACACAAGGGTTGAAATACAGTGGGGGATCAGCCAGAGGCTTCCTCAGGCTTGCTCCAGATTCGGGTCTACAGCATAATGTTGTCATCGTCTATGTCGCAACAACATGATTTCATTGTTGAGATTATGTTATTAAATGGAAGCAAAAGTATGTGAACAGAATAAAATGGAAGCGTAGATGTAAAGAGGAGCATTTTTAAAAAAATCTAATCGCTTTCTGATGCATTAACTTCACATTTGGGCTCCTTTTTGTTCAACCAAGCCACATCATCCATACGGAAC